TTTATGATGATCTTCGTCTAAAACACTAAAATATTCCTCATCTGTTCTTAATGAATGGTTTATCCCATTGAAGACATTACGACCTTCACAAATGGTTCCAGAAACTTTGCACTTCGAGCATGGTTTACTGGACATGTGTCCACGATGATTGAGAATAAAGGCTCGAGCTGGTGCATCAGCAATAAAACACCTCAATTGGATTGGAATTCTATTACCATTAAAGTTAATGCCACCATTGTCTATGATGATTTGGATGTCCTTAATAAATGCTTGAAAAAAACTATTGGGATCACGAGGTTTTTCTAAACCTTTGTATATACCGACTATTATCGGTTGGGCTTGTTCTATATTAATTATTCTACATTGAATAGGCCACAGATGAATAGTTCCTGCTCTATCTAATGCACACCAATCTATTTGAAAATCTAATACAATTTCTGAAAGGGTAGTTGCTAGTGAAAAATTGGAAACATATTCAATTAAACTTGCTTCTAAATCAAAATAAATATATTCTCCTGGCTCTACTTTTGAAACAACATTATTGCGTGGTGTACTAACAAGTGTTCTAACATCTTTGGGTAAGTTGGAGAAGCAAGGATGTGTCCGAAGAAGAGATAACATACTATTACCTTGAACATGGGTAAAATTGTTGTTTACAAAACAAGATGCTAGACGTTCGCGATAGGTGGGTTCATTGTCGGAAAGTACAGATATATCATTGATATCTGAACACGAAGAAGAAGAAGATTCGTCGTTAATAAAATTTTCATCATACATAATATCACAATTATAACTTGGAATAGGATTATCGTTGGTGGAACTATGTCCTAAAATAGCCGAATCTGAAATATTTTGCAAATTACATTTGATAGAAGAACTACATCCCGGAATAGCTGAATCATTAACATTTTGAACATCATTACAATCATTAGAAGAACTACATTTCGGATTAGAGGCAGCTATATTTTGTGACTTTAAATGCATCCTTACTTCTAACATAACCCTACTTCGTTGTTTAACGGACAACTTATGCAGCGGTTTTCGCGAAACTGATGATTTGATTTTAAACTTACCCATATTTGTATACTCGATGAGCGAATCCTTCGGATAACAGCACAAAATGCAGCTTAAGTATCGTAAAGTTAATTTTATTCGCTCGGCTCAAACACATTCACTCTCCAAGGATATGTTCGAAAACATATGTGGTCTGTTCTTTTTAGCTGCACTGTTGAACTGGTGCAATAAGTTAAAGTGAGAGAGATATATATTTTCTGACTCTAACTTATTGCACTAGTTCAGCAGTGCAGCTACAAAGAGCAGACCTGTAATGATGGGATGAAAATTAAGATCACTGATTGGTTAATTTTTTTGGCGTTGATATGATCTCGATCTAATTTATGTAATGAGCGTACAGCAACGTACGAAATAAAGAAATACTTATTACAAAGTTTTTACAATTGGAGTCTTTCAAAAGCTTATGCAGATAGATTTGCATAACTGCATAAGCATATCATATGACCGTTTGAACCAATGAGCTTTTAGCAAAGAGTAGCCATATTGATTCGCATAACATGCTCATTGGTCGAGACGGTCTTATGCTATGCATATACAATTGTATAGACTACGTCTATACAATTTCGTCTGTATAAACCTTGAATGTTAAGTGGAAAGCACACTCTTTCATAAAAGCGTAATGCACAACGCATAAGAAAATTGACCATCAGAATCTTTCATTTTTATTGTGGCAATAGAAATGAAGACTCTAATTGGTCAATTCTCTTATGCGTTGTGCATTATGTCTTTATACAAGAGTGTACTTCCCTTTTAAAGTGCATTCCGTTATGCACTTTCATTACTTCATAAACTATAAAGCGTTGGAAATGCATAACGAAATATATTTTAGCGTTTACTGTATCTAAAATACGGAACTGCACAACCTTCCTATTGGGTATCACGCGTCATGTTGCGCATTGTGCGTCGCACATCATGTTTTCAATATGGCTTCATCAACCGTCTAATTAGGCGCCATAAAAGAGGTTTCACTTTGGTGAAAGCATTTTGAACACACTCCTAATTGGATATTGAGTTATGCGATGAACGACACGTTCTTTTCAGCTACAATGGTCGCGTTCAGCAGAGAAAACTGCTTCACTACCGCTACATAGCGAACGTCTACGATTGAAATAATCTTTTAGATTTTTGATACATATAAAAGAATACTTCAATCGTAGACGTTTGCTACGTAGCTGTAGCGGACAAGTTTTCTCTGCTGAACGCACCCACTGTTGAACTGGTGACCAGTAAACAACAACTGTTGACCAGTAAACAACAACTGTTGAATTGACGCAATAAGTTAAAACAAAATACATATATTTTTTTTTCTTTGTAATTTATTGCACTGGTTCAGCAGTGCAACCAAAAAGAACAGACTAATACTTTTCCGAGTTCAATTATTCGAGTTCAATTGTTCGAGTTCAATTATCCGAGTTCAACTATTACTACCGTGAGTTGGAACGTGTGAATTTCCGCTACGAGTGTGAATTTATGCTGCCAATTTTATTACGAAAATTATAATCCACCTGTACTGCAAGATAAAGGTACGTACAAATTTTAATTCTAACTTTCATAGAATATACCTACTGTATAAACGTTACATATTAGATACGTAACATATATGTTTAATGTCCTACTCAGAAATATTTTTTCTACACAATAGTTCAGAAATGTAGCAAAAATATTTCTGCTACATTTCTGCGCTATTATGTAGAAGAACGTTTCCGAGTAG